TTCTCTCTCTCTCTCTCTCTCTCTCTCTCTCTCTCTCTCTCTCTCTCTCTCTCTCTCTCTCTCTCTCTCTTTCTCTCTCTCTCTCTCTCTCTCTCCACTCTCTCTCTCTCTCTCTCTCTCTCTCTCTCTCTCTCTCTCTACCTCTCCTACCTCTTTCTTGATCTCTGATTCTCTCTCTCTCTCTCTCTCTCTCTCTCTCTCTCTCTCTCTCTCTTCTCTCTCTCTCTCTCTCTCTCTCTCTCTTTCTCTCTCTCTCTCTCTCTCTTCTACCTCTTCTCTTCTCTCTCTCTCTCTCTCTCTCTCTCTCTCTACCTCTCTTCTCTTTTTGATCTCTGATTTCTCTCTCTCTCTCTCTTCTCTCTCTCTCATCTCTCTCTCTCTCTCCTCTCTCTCTCTCTCTCTCTCTCTCTCTCTTCTCTCTCTCTCTCTTCTCTCTCTCTCTCTCTCTCTCTCTCTCTCTCTATACCTCTCTTTCTACCTCTTTCTTGATCTCTGATTCTCTCTCTCTCTCTCTCTCTCTCTCTCTCTCTCTCTCTCTCTCTCTCTCTCTCTCTCTTTTTTTTTTTTTTTTTTTTTTTTTTTTTTTCTCTCTCTCTCTCTCTCTCTCTCTCTCTCTCTCTCTCTCTCTCTCTCTCTCTCTCTTCTCTCTCTCTCTCTCTCTCTCTCTTCTCTCTCTCTCTCTCTCCTCTCTCTCTCTCTCTCTCTCTCTCTCTCTCTCTCTCTCTCTCTCTCTCTCTCTCTCTCTCTCTCTCTCTCGCCCCCCCCCCCCCCCCTTCTTTCGCTCGTTTTTTCCTCTATCTCATGTGTCGTTTTTTTTTTTGTTCAATCCTTATTTCCATTTCCCGAGTTGCACCATGCATTATCTACTCAACGAAACTTGTGTTCTTTTTAGTTCTCTCTTTTTTTTGCCACTTGTATTGGTGCTTCAGGAATGCCGTTACAAAGGATTTCTGGTTTCCAACTGTTTATTTTTTTCTACAGTAGACTATCACATCAGGTAACATGTTTCAATTGCTTTCTACTTGTTGCCTTTCTTTCTCGTGATGCATTTTTGAGTCCGAGTGTTGTTCCGCTGCCATTTGCTTTGCGTTGTTTCCCTTCTCCATTCTGCTATTGCTTGCTTGATACACGGGTAGTGCATTTTGTGTATGCAATAAGAAAGATTGTACTGATCGTCTCGAGTAAGGTTCTTTGAGTTTCCACCTTGAGTGCAGTCACTTGAACTGGGGATGATAAATGCAATCTATTTTCTTGCAATCGCAAAGTTCATTGCCTAAAAAAACGTTGTGTGATTTGTTCATTAGGCTTTCAACTTCCCCCACTTAGTTGGGGAAGCGATTGCCTATTTTTGTCGTCGACAAAAATACGTCACGCGAAATGATGGAAAAAAGAATTCCTCTTGTTTTCCATCATTTTGTTTTATTTTCAAATACCATAGTGTAATTACTATATTACACTATATTGCACATTTCAATTACTCTCTTCCATATATCGAAAAATGATGGAAAACATTAACTCTTTTCCATCATTGTTTCGTTTCAAGTATTATGTTTCATTGTTTTAGCAAGCAAAGCTAATAAATAAAGATTTGTAGTTTAGATAAGCCATCTATAATATATTGCCTATATTCCCTATTATTTTCCTTCAATTATTATTAAAAAAATTTTTGATAAAACTTGAAAAAAAAATCTCGTCGGATCGATCGTGATAGGTTGCTCCGCAACCCAAAAACAGCTGCTTAGCGTGCGTCGCAAAGAGTCGCGCACTACAGTGCCCCAAATCTAATCCAAAATAGAATCAGAAATATATTTTAAAGAAGCATTTTTATTTAGAGCCTTGTTAAAAAACATAATATATTTTGGAAGTTATGCATTGAAATTCTCCAAAATCATTAATCATGAGAAAGAAACCTTTCTTTTTGCGAATATGATCTAATTAAGAACAACAACAGCAGCATTAGTCTGAACTGGTAGACAAATTTACAGAGCGTACCGATTTTTCCTTCTGAAGTACAGTTACGTAGAAACGTGTGGGTACTGCCTGCCGAATCACACGTCACAGGACTTTTTGTGCCAAACACACCAAACGAAAACCTGGAGTGAAAGTCATGTTCCCAATTTCTGGGAGATTCTGTTTCAGATTAGGTTTGAAGCACTGTGGTGCGCGACTCTTTGCGACGCACGCTGAGCCGCTGTTTTTTTTTTCAGCGCCCGTCATTTTTTGTACAGTTGAGTTTTCGCCTATTTCCTGCAATTTTGACCTTGTCCATGGAAGTAAGGCGGATGTCAATGAAAGTAGTGATGGAGTCCACGGGAGAAGCGATATGTTGATGTGGTGCCCATGAAAGTAGGGGTTGTCCACGAAAGTATGAAAAGATTTGCGGACAGTCCGCGGCAGTAATTTTCCCCGCCATCTTTTTTCCTGGGTCTGCAGTGCGCAAAATAAAAGCGGGAGCATGACGAACCCACCTTTTCTTATCGCCCTCTTCCCCAGTCCATCATCCGCCCTGCTGCTCCGCCACCACCAACTCCCTGCTCGCCTTCCGCCATGGCGCTTGCCGTCTCGGGGCCCGTGCATTCCGCGTCCGCCGCCATCCGCCCTCTCGACCGCGCCATCTCAGCACGCGCCTCGCGTGCCTCCGCCGCTCGCGCCTTCCCGCGGGACTCGCGGCATCAGGCCAGTCTTGACGCACTCGCGGTAGCCAGCGCGGCGAAACCGTCGCGCGCACCGTGTGCGGGCCGCTCTGCGTCCGCCCGGCACGACTCTCAGAAGCACTGCGCATGGCGCCTGCGCACCCGCGCGAGCACAGGTGAGGGCGTCGAGGGACGCGGCGATGACTGGGTGCGTCGCGAGCACTCGTCGCTCTGCACTCGCCGCTCCGCCAACCATCATCGCCTCTTCCCCGCCCTCGCCCCGCTCTCTCCCTCCTGCGCTTCTCGCCTCGTCCTCTTCCCCCGCTTCGCCCACTGTCCCCAACGCCTTTGGCCTAAACCCTCAATCTGCATTCACTCGTGTCGCAGGTGACAATGCGACGTCGTCGTCGCCGTCATCGTCGCAGGACGTGCCTCAGGAAGCGAACGACCGAGCCCTGGCACAGGTGAGGCGCTGAGACATTGGGATTGCCAAATGGCCTTTTCGCCGCCAGTGGTGAGCGTTATCAGTTTCTGGTAGCTGAAAGACAACTCGTGCCATGCCAAGGTGTCGCTGCCCTCTGTTGCGGCGCCCGTTTGTTAGCGTCACCTTGCAGCCATGCCATGTGCCGTGCCATGTGCCCTTGCAGCCGTGCCATGTGCCGTGCCATGTGCCCTTGCAGCCGTGCCATGTGCCGCCGTGCCGCCGCTGGGCGGTAGCAATTGAGAAGGCTCTTGAGTTCACGTGCGTCCCCCGTGCGCCTCGTGCTGCCTCTTCTTCGCCCCACGCCAACAGGATAAAGCGCGGTCATTGGTGGATGATCTCAAGGGCACAAGCATCTTCCTCGTTGGTATGTGCCGCGTAATGTCAGGGTCGTGTGTTCCATTTCCATGACAGCATGAGCCGCATGTGTGGCGCCATGGTTATGCCGCAAGTGTGGCGCCATGGTTATTCCGCATGTGTGATTGCTTCCATCAGAAGCCGTCAAACATGCAGCGCCTTCCATTCAAGTGTGGGAAGGAAGAACGCGCCGGCTCCCCATCCATCATGCATCAAGCAGCTCCCAATCCGTCATGTTTCAAGCAGCTCCCCATCCATCATGCATCAAGCAGCTCCCCATCCATCATGCATCAAGCAGCTCCCCATCCCTCATGCATCAAGCAGCTTCCCATCCATCATGCATCAAGCAGCTCCCCATCCATCATGCATCAAGCAGCTCCCCATCCATCATGCATCAAGCAGCTCCCCATCCATCATGCATCAAGCAGCTCCCCGTCCATCATGCATCAAGCAGCTCCCCATCCCTCATGCATCAAGCAGCTCCCCATCCGTCATGCATCAAGCAGCTCCCCATCCATCATGCATCAAGCAGCTCCCCATCCATCATGCATCAAGCAGCTCCCCATCCGTCATGCATCAAGCAGCTCCCCATCCATCATGCATCAAGCAGCTTCCCATCCATCATGCATCAAGCAGCTCCTCATCCCTCATGCATCAAGCAGCTTCCCATCCATCATGCATCAAGCAGCTCCCCATCCATCATGCATCAAGCAGCTCCCCATCCATCATGCATCAAGCAGCTCCCCGTCCATCATGCATCAAGCAGCTCCCCATCCCTCATGCATCAAGCAGCTCCCCATCCGTCATGCATCAAGCAGCTCCCCATCCATCATGCATCAAGCAGCTTCCCATCCATCATGCATCAAGCAGCTCCCCATCCCTCATGCATCAAGCAGCTCCCCATCCATCATGCATCAAGCAGCTCCCCATCCATCATGCATCAAGCAGCTCCCCATCCATCATGCATCAAGCAGCTCCCCATCCATCATGGATCAAGCAGCTCCCCATCCATCATGGATCAAGCAGCTCCCCATCCATCATGCATCAAGCAGCTCCCCGTCCATCATGCATCAAGCAGCTCCCCATCCCTCATGCATCAAGCAGCTCCCCGCCATCATGCATCAAGCAGCTCCCCATCCATCATGCATCAAGCAGCTCCCCATCCCTCATGCATCAAGCAGCTCCCCATCCATCATGCATCAAGCAGCTCCTCATCGCTCATGCATCAAGCAGCTCACCATACATCATGGATCAAGCAGCTCCCCATCCATCATGGATCAAGCAGCTCCCCATCCATCATGGATCAAGCAGCTCCCCATCCATCATGGATCAAGCAGCTCCCCATCCATCATGGATCAAGCAGCTCCCCATCCATCATGCATCAAGCAGCTCCCCATCCATCATGGATCAAGCAGCTCCCCATCCCTCATGCATCAAGCAGCTTCCCATCCATCATGCATCAAGCAGCTTCCCATCCATCATGCATCAAGCAGCTCCTCATCCCTCATGCATCAAGCAGCTTCCCATCCATCATGCATCAAGCAGCTCCCCATCCATCATGCATCAAGCAGCTCCCCATCCATCATGCATCAAGCAGCTCCCCGTCCATCATGCATCAAGCAGCTCCCCATCCCTCATGCATCAAGCAGCTCCCCATCCGTCATGCATCAAGCAGCTCCCCTTCCATCATGCATCAAGCAGCTCCCCATCCATCATGCATCAAGCAGCTCCCCATCCGTCATGCATCAAGCAGCTCCCCATCCATCATGCATCAAGCAGCTTCCCATCCATCATGCATCAAGCAGCTCCTCATCCCTCATGCATCAAGCAGCTTCACATCCATCATGCATCAAGCAGCTCCCCATCCATCATGCATCAAGCAGCTCCCCATCCATCATGCATCAAGCAGCTTCCCATCCATCATGCATCAAGCAGCTCCTCATCCCTCATGCATCAAGCAGCTTCCCATCCATCATGCATCAAGCAGCTTCCCATCCATCATGCATCAAGCAGCTCCTCATCCATCATGCATCAAGCAGCTCCCCATCCCTCAAGGATCAAGCAGCTCCCCATCCCTCATGCATCAAGCAGATCCCCATCCGTCATGCATCAAGCAGCTCCCCATCCATCATGCATCAAGCAGCTTCCCATCCATCATGCATCAAGCAGCTCCCCATCCATCATGCATCAAGCAGCTCCCCATCCATCATGCATCAAGCAGCTCCCCATCCATCATGCATCAAGCAGCTCCCCATCCATCATGCATCAAGCCGCTCCTCATCCCTCATGCATCAAGCAGCTCCCCATCCATCATGGATCAAGCAGCTCCCCATCCATCATGGATCAAGCAGCTCCCCATCCATCATGCATCAAGCAGCTCCCCATCCATCATGCATCAAGCATCTCCCCGTCCATCATGCATCAAGCAGCTCCCCATCCCTCAAGGATCAAGCAGCTCCCCATCCCTCATGCATCAAGCAGCTCCCCATCCGTCATGCATCAAGCAGCTCCCCATCCATCATGCATCAAGCAGCTTCCCATCCATCATGCATCAAGCAGCTCCCCATCCATCATGCATCAAGCAGCTCCCAATCCGTCATGCATCAAGCAGCTCCCCTTCCATCATGCATCAAGCAGCTCCCCATCCATCATGCATCAAGCAGCTCCCCATCCATCATGGATCAAGCAGCTCCCCATCCATCATGGATCAAGCAGCTCCCCATCCATCATGGATCAAGCAGCTCCCCATCCATCATGCATCAAGCAGCTCCCCATCCATCATGCATCAAGCAGCTCCCCGTCCATCATGCATCAAGCAGCTCCCCATCCCTCAAGGATCAAGCAGCTCCCCATCCCTCATGCATCAAGCAGCTCCCCATCCGTCATGCATCAAGCAGCTCCCCATCCATCATGCATCAAGCAGCTTCCCATCCATCATGCATCAAGCAGCTCCCCATCCCTCATGCATCAAGCAGCTCCCCATCCATCATGGATCAAGCAGCTCCCCATCCATCATGGATCAAGCAGCTCCCCATCCATCATGCATCAAGCAGCTCCCCATCCATCATGCATCAAGCAGCTCCCCGTCCATCATGCATCAAGCAGCTCCCCATCCCTCAAGGATCAAGCAGCTCCCCATCCCTCATGCATCAAGCAGCTCCCCATCCGTCATGCATCAAGCAGCTCCCCATCCATCATGCATCAAGCAGCTTCCCATCCATCATGCATCAAGCAGCTCCCCATCCATCATGCATCAAGCAGCTCCTCATCGCTCATGCATCAAGCAGCTCACCATACATCATGGATCAAGCAGCTCCCCATCCCTCATGCATCCAGCAGCTCACCATACATCATGCATCAAGCAGCTCCCCATCCATCATGGATCAAGCAGCTCCCCATCCATCATGGATCAAGCAGCTCCCCATCCATCATGCATCAAGCAGCTCCCCATCCATCATGCATCAAGCAGCTCCCCGTCCATCATGCATCAAGCAGCTCCCCATCCCTCAAGGATCAAGCAGCTCCCCATCCCTCATGCATCAAGCAGCTCCCCATCCGTCATGCATCAAGCAGCTCCCCATCCATCATGCATCAAGCAGCTTCCCATCCATCATGCATCAAGCAGCTCCCCATCCATCATGCATCAAGCAGCTCCCAATCCGTCATGCATCAAGCAGCTCCCCTTCCATCATGCATCAAGCAGCTCCCCATCCATCATGCATCAAGCAGCTCCCCATCCCTCAAGGATCAAGCAGCTCCCCATCCCTCATGCATCAAGCAGCTCCCCATCCGTCATGCATCAAGCAGCTCCCCATCCATCATGCATCAAGCAGCTTCCCATCCATCATGCATCAAGCAGCTCCCCATCCATCATGCATCAAGCAGCTCCTCATCGCTCATGCATCAAGCAGCTCACCATACATCATGGATCAAGCAGCTCCCCATCCCTCATGCATCAAGCAGCTCACCATACATCATGCATCAAGCAGCTCCCCATCCATCATGGATCAAGCAGCTCCCCATCCATCATGGATCAAGCAGCTCCCCATCCATCATGCATCAAGCAGCTCCCCATCCATCATGCATCAAGCAGCTCCCCGTCCATCATGCATCAAGCAGCTCCCCATCCCTCAAGGATCAAGCAGCTCCCCATCCCTCATGCATCAAGCAGCTCCCCATCCGTCATGCATCAAGCAGCTCCCCATCCATCATGCATCAAGCAGCTTCCCATCCATCATGCATCAAGCAGCTCCCCATCCATCATGCATCAAGCAGCTCCCAATCCGTCATGCATCAAGCAGCTCCCCATCCATCATGCATCAAGCAGCTCCCCATCCATCATGCATCAAGCAGCTCCCCATCCGTCATGCATCAAGCAGCTCCCCATCCATCATGCATCAAGCAGCTTCCCATCCATCATGCATCAAGCAGCTCCTCATCCCTCATGCATCAAGCAGCTTCCCATCCATCATGCATCAAGCAGCTCCCCATCCATCATGCATCAAGCAGCTCCCCATCCATCATGCATCAAGCAGCTCCCCGTCCATCATGCATCAAGCAGCTCCCCATCCCTCATGCATCAAGCAGCTCCCCATCCATCATGCATCAAGCAGCTCCCCATCCATCATGCATCAAGCAGCTCCCCATCCATCATGGATCAAGCAGCTCCCCATCCATCATGGATCAAGCAGCTCCCCATCCATCATGCATCAAGCAGCTCCCCATCCATCATGGATCAAGCAGCTCCCCATCCCTCATGCATCAAGCAGCTTCCCATCCATCATGCATCAAGCAGCTTCCCATCCATCATGCATCAAGCAGCTCCTCATCCCTCATGCATCAAGCAGCTTCCCATCCATCATGCATCAAGCAGCTCCCCATCCATCATGCATCAAGCAGCTCCCCATCCATCATGCATCAAGCAGCTCCCCGTCCATCATGCATCAAGCAGCTCCCCATCCCTCATGCATCAAGCAGCTCCCCATCCGTCATGCATCAAGCAGCTCCCCT